AACATTCAAGACTAGAAAAAATAAGTATATATGAAGCAAGGCGAAAGCGGGCGTACAGTAGTGAAGTAATAGTGACCCGTTAAAAGGAACAATTATTTCACAAAGAAAACTTCACAAATCCGAGAAAAAAAATATTAGCGAAACCTGAAGTACTTCATATCAAATAGCGAAATAATAGCAATAACTGATTAATCTGGGTGATAAAAATAATTGAAAAATTCCGTATATTTAAACTATTATTACAACATATATATGACAACCTATTAAAATGCTACGACAGTAGTAACGCCAACGGTGGCGGGGGGGACCAGCCAGTTGCATTTCTATTGGCATCATTGACATGACCGTTTACGTTACACTCGGTCGATTTGTATTTCTAGCCTGATGTTAGTTAACGTAAATCATTCATTGTGATAGTGATTTTATCGTTGCTAATGATACTTGTGCCAACGAACAATATCTGGTTGGTTTTAGAGAAGGGGAAATGCCAACTTACGATGGCTTTAACTTTTTATTTGCATTCATACATTCATAGCTATGGTCCGCTGAAAAATGTTTATCATGGAAAAATTCATGCGAATTCCTTTTGCGATGGGAAGTGTTTATTATATGTAAAACTAGCCTTATTTAAACCTAACTTATTGCGTTGTGTTAATTGAGCCTCTTCATGCACTTATTATATTTTTTGAATTAAGGTATTATTTCTATCTATATTTATATATTATATTATTATATGTATATTTTAATTTTGCTAAAAAAATTTCTAAATAACAAAAAGCCGCTTTTAAGACCTAAGTATTAATACCCAACTTTGTGAAGCTAACCTCATTTTAAACATTGAAAACATGATCGCCTGAATTACAAGTGTTATTAAATTAATACAAAAACAGGACGGAGAAATAATCAGCTGCTATGGTTACTCGATCGTGTTACATTGTGTGAGACGGTCTATTTGATTAAGCTCTACATGTATAGAATATTGTATTAGGTAACTCCAGTGCCATCACTGTGTTGGTATTCTGTGAGGATATATGCATTTTTATTATTTGGTTTTTACTAAATATGAATATATTTAGATCTATAGATATCACTCTCAAGAGATCAATATAAGGTTTTTATTAAATTTCGTTAGAGGTATGAGATATATGCATTATTCATATTTGATTTTATCAAATATAATGTAGGTTTGATAGCATTCATGTGTTATATTGCATTTTTAAACAGAGTTAGGCATCAATTGTATATGTGATCTTTTTATGGCAACAAAATTAATGAAAATTTGCGTAATTTTATTTACGATACGAACGCTCGTAATTTTTAGCGTTTAATTCGGCGCGTCTTCATAAGGAGGATGTGCATGCAAATGCAGCATGTTTAGCTCGATTCAATTACAAAAATTAATGGCAATTTTATTTTTTATTGCCATAAAAATATGGCAACAAAATTAATGAAAATTTGCGTAATTTTATTTACGATACACACTCGTAATTTTTAGACGTCTGCTTGCATAGAAAAACGCGCGCGTTTAATTCGGCGCGTCTTCATAAGGAGGATTTGCATACAAATGCAGCATGTTTAGCTCGATTCAATTACAAAAATTAATGGCAATTTTATTTTTTATTCAAAATTTGAGTATATTGCTCATTAAAAAATACATAATTAATACAAAATTAATTTACTAAAATTATAAATACAAATTAAATAACTAAGTGTGTGTCCAATTTGTTGTACAATCTTCCTTATAAGTCTGCTACCGTTCTACGTGTCTCTGCTGTAATGACAACGTGCCCGTTTGCAAACGTGGTGCGTTTTTGTGACAACCCAGCTTCAACGATTATAACTGCTCTGATGTTCCTATGATTTCTTTATTCGTTTAGATTTATGAGCTAAGAAAGGATTTGCCGCAGCAAGGTGAAACTCCCGTCGTGTGAACGCAGCTGCATCTCTGCGTATAAGGTTCTCGACCTGTCAAGCTGACCTGTCAGCATCTGTCAATGTGACCTGTCAACACCTGTCAAGGTGACCTGTCAGCCTCTGTCAAGCTGACCTGTCAGCATCTGTCAAGGTGACCTGTCAGCATCTGTCAAGGTGAAAGTCTCAGCACCTGTTAAGATCACGCGATAACAAGACAACAGATAACAAGACAACAGATAACAAGACAACAGATAACAAGACAACAGATAACAAGACAACAGATAACAAGACAACAGAGATAAGATGACAAGACGCAGAAAACGAGATTATTATTCAGTGAAATACTACCTGCAGATCTGACGAGGTTTTAATTGATTAGTAAAACACGTTTATTTCCATGTTTGAAATTGTATCTGTGGTTTATAGATGGGATTAGCATAATCATTGCTCGCCCTCGTTAGTGCAAACGTAGTTATCTTCCTTCTCCTATGTCACTGAAATAAAAGAGGAATAAAAAATAACATTACATAATTATGTTTCTTGATTGCTATTTCGCTGCTAATTCGTCTGTTTTTGCATATTCCGGAGTCTCAAATACCCATGAATTCATCAACGTATTCACATTTTTCTGGTAACTCTGCGTCGGTTTCAAAATATCAAGAGCAGCTCTTCTTTATCTGCTCTTGAAAATATGGATCTGTGTTATGTATAGTAAGTCTCCAAGGCCACAACCCACGACATTCTCGGTCCTATCTCTCTCCAGAGTGACGTCCATTAATTGCACTTTGCAGCCGTTAACGGTGACAGTTCATGCGAGTTTTGCCACCACTCGGCGAATAACGACTTAAAACCGTCGATATTTGAATTTATTACAACCATTCAGTAATTGGCTGTTGCTGCCGCAGAGATGCTCGCATTATACACTGCTACGGTAAAACTGCTCCGATGTCACGGTCGGTACGGCAATGATAACGATCCACGGTCCGCACGACTAATCCAATTAGTTTGAAACGAACTGCGGTTCTCATATCTTAGGAGGGCGCGCATGTCTCCGTTGCTCGCACCCCGCTTAATATGAAAATTTGCGTAATTTTATTTACGATACGAACGCTCGTAGTTTTTAGACGTCTGCTTGCATAGATAAACGCGCGCGTTTAATTTGGCGCGTCT